TCTTCTTCTTCTTCTTCTTCTTCTTCTTCTTCTTCTTCTTCTTCTTCTTCTTCTTCTTCTTCTTCTTCTTCTTCTTCTTCTTCTTCTGTTGCAGAAGATCCTTCCTTAGATACCATCCATGGGATGCTGGTGGCCAATCTCTGCCACTCTCTGCTCAGGGATTCCCAAGGTGCCCTACCTTCTAACCATCAAGATCCATTTTGTCCTGGATGAAAATAATTTTCCCTTGGAGAAAGATTTCCAGCTGCTGGAGTTCCACTTCGACCTCTGAAGCAGCCACTTCTAATGAGGTTCCCCACTTAATATCACAATCACACAAAAAGTCGTAAAATGGGGACGTGAATGGAGGGGGGGGTGTTGTTTGTCTTGGAATGAAATTAATTTTTATAAATACATTTTGTACAATTTGAAAGCAACGGTTCCTTCAGACGGTTATTAAAAACTACTCAAAAGATAGCTGATGTTTTCTTTATTGGTCTGGGATAACCGAAGACCTCAGGAATTTCCTGAGAGTTAAAGATATCTCAAAACTGTTTCTGCCAACGTTTTTAAATGTGTTGCCTAAAAATATTTTTCCTTGCCGCCTCAATTTTCGCCTTCATGTCATTGCGTCGGCTTATCTATTAGAAATTCCACTTTTCAAAGGAATTGTTGTAATGGCAGAAAGAAGCTTTTCTCTTTATAAATGGTGGATTCAGCTATGTTATCAAACCTCTGGCAGGAATTTTGACATTCGCATTTAAAAAAACCCTTTACTTCCTGAAGGACATGTGCCAAATACAGTCAGCCTGCAAAGCAAATAAATGAATCAAAGAGAGAGAGAGAGAGAAATAGAGTTTAAATTATGCACCTGATTTAAAGATATTGGGTGGGTACTGGGTAGGTGTGGAATCTATTTCTCAGTCTCTTCCTTTGGAAAATAGGTTCAGATTCAAAGTGCAGCCTTAAGTGTATTTAATAACTCTTTTATCTTTTTGTGTAATTTAGGGATTTTAGCTCGGTGGAGTCTAGTTGAACTTTGATTTGTAGCGGGAAGCTGAATCTTAAAATGTTGCTGTTGGAAGAAAGATGCTGGAAATAAAAAGGAGGTTGATTTGAAAGAAGGATTTTGATTATTGATGAGAAGAACCAACCACAGCATGTAGTTCTGGGACAGCTGACAAAATGGGGTTGGGACAGAGGTGACCTTTTAGGCATTTGGGGGTGTTTTGTGCTTGAGATGCTCCTGGGTGTGTGTGTGCCATGGAGCACTAGTGTCCTTTGCTGTTTCAATAGTGGTGGGTTAATGCTACTCTTATGTCCAGAAAGGCCTGTCCTTCTTCATCCCATCCACTGGAGCTGTCAGCCTCTGGGAGCTGAAAGTGGTTTTTTTTTGTGAATAGATTGGCCCAGCCTCCCTTCATGGGCACAAAATCCCCCTCTCTCAAGATTCCAGGCATCTGCGGAGGCTGTTGGGACTACTTTCTGCCTTGGTTAAGATTTTCTCCATTTCTCTTTTTGGGGAAATGTAATATTCTGCCTTTTTTAATATTCCCCCAAATATTTCAAATACATTGCTCTTGTACTGGGAGCAAACCCGCTTCTCTTCTAAGCACTGGTGATGTTACTTAGATGAGTCAAGAAAACCACCAAGCTCATAGAGCAGCTGGGTCCCCACATCTGTCCGTCTGTCTATCCGTAAACAACTGCCTAACCAAGGAACCATCAAGAACACTTCCATTAACACTGATAGGGTAAGCCACCTGTATATAAACAGAGAGCAAACCCCATTCCCTTCTAGCACTGATGGTGTTGCCTAGTTGGGTCATGAAAGGTCTGCAAAAAAACCACTGAGCTCAGAGTGCCCCACAATTCAACCCTGATCAAAAATAATCTCTTCTTTTGGGGCTGCTAGTGGTGCAGGGGGCTGGGAGTTCATCTGGGCAACATCTGGAGAGCTGCATGTTCCCCATCCAGGATAGAAGACTCTTCTTCCCTCAAAGAGTCCAGAGCTACAGGCGTCACATTGTCTTTGGAGTGCAGCAACTGGACTCTCGGCTTCCTTGAGTGGCTCTGCTGCTCCTTCAGCCAAAGCACAGCCCAAGGTGGAGAGACAGCTTTATTTTTGCAATCAGCAAAGCAATTGCTTGTCTTCTCCAAAGTATTTACAATAGCAATTTTCACTACTTGAGTGGCTTCCTACGCAGGCAAGGAAATTTTTTGGGGCTTGTCTTAACCTTCCTGGAGCTCCTTGTACCTAACTCAATTGTGTACTTTGAAAACTGTGACGAATGGGCCTTTGAGAGGGTGTGGGGGGGATGCAAATGCCCTTTATTTAAGACAGGCTGTGCATAAGACCTGTAGACCTCAACTTCCAGAATTCCCCAGCCAGTCATGACTTTCAAGTCATGAGAATTCTGGGAGTTAGAAATCTATAGCTCTTAAAGGAGCCAAGATTGTAAAAACTTCCTCACCTCCAGATTTAAGATGAGACCCACAATGCCCATATGACAGGGACAGCGGGAGTTTCCCAGGCTTCGCAATACTTTATTTTAACAAAATACAATATTGGACAGATTATCAAACTATACAAGTTGTGGCTCAAAAGACATTTCATATACATGTTCTTTTGCTATAGATCAGTCAGAACACAGCACAGAATTTTTATGTCCAGTCTTCATTTGCTTGATCATAATTTGTTCACAAAAAGCATAATGATCTGGGTTCACACATCACCCCTATGCACGGTTTACAAAACAAGGCGAGTGCATGAGCTAAAACCACATTATGGCTGCCAATACTGTAGCAATCCTCAGCTAACCAGGTTTGCAAGAATTTGACCCAGCCTGAACTGGACGGTAGTCTTCCAGCATTAGCCACAAAGGTGTGTCAATGTGCATTGACACATTAGTATTATTTGGCATTGAGAAGCTTATCCTCAATCATGGGTGAATGAACATCACAATATAGTCCACATACCACAGAGCCTGGATTCCCACGACAGGAGCTAAGCCAAAATGAGACAAAGGAGTTCACCATGATGTGCAAAGTCTTTATTAGTCACCCAGTGGAGGGCATGTTGGTGCTTTACCAGAACTCCTTTAATCATAATTATGCAGCAAAAAGTAAAATCCTGTGTTTTTGCAAATGAGCATCGGTCTCATTAATACTGTATCCTGTTCTGGCAAAACAAAATTTTTTTCCTGTTTCAATTAATTTCCTGATTATCCCTTTCCTTTGCTCAAGAGCTGTCGAGCTAATGAATAAATTAATAGCTACAAAAAGATCACAGGTTGACTCTCAGAGGAGTTTCTGAAATAATTTGATACTCCCCCCCCCAAGTTTCTTTAAATAATGGACGTGCTATTCGTTACCATAACAAAAGGATCAAAAGTAGAATTTATCAAGATTGAACTGAATCTCACATTTAAAATGTGAGGTTCTTTTTTTTTTTTGAGAACCAGCCAGGGGAATTCTGCAAGTTGAAGGCACCAGTCTTAAAGTTGCCAAGTCTGGACACCCCTGGTGTAGAGGTTTATAATTTGATTCTTCAAGAATCATGTAGTAGCTAAAAGACTTCCCTTATCAACACAGAATTTTGCCAAACTGTCAGTCAGCATGAGAATGGAAAAAGTCTTCACACAACAGGAAACAGTTCCAATAATGCAGACATTACAGTCGTCGTCCCATAGATCAGATTACCTTGTTTTCCTCACTATGCTTATCTGCCAGTTTTCTGCCAAAATTAGAGGCAAATAATTTGTGAATTGTTGCTAAGGAGAGAGAAATACCTCTTGGAGTTCAATTGTCCCTCCCTTATTGAAAGGACTAAAAGATTAAACTCTCTTTTAATGGCAGAATCAAATTTTCTGAGAACTCCATTATGGAAATCTGAATGTCCACTTCTATGGTCGATAGTAAGCAGGGAAGTCCATGGAAATTTCAGAATAACGGAGTTGGAAGGGGCCTTAAAAGTCTTCTAATCCAACTCCTTCTCAAGCAGGAAACTCTACCATTTTAGAAAACAAATGTCCAATCTCTTCTTCAAAACCTCCAGTGATGGAGCACCCACAACTCTGAAGGCAACTTGTTCCACTAATTAGTTGTCCTCACTGTCAGGAAAATTATCCTTATTTCTAGGTTGGTTCTCTCTTTGACTAGTTTCCATCCATTGCTTCTTGTTCAGTCTTGAGGTGCTTTGGAGAAGAGGTTGACCCCCTTTTCGACTGATATCATCCCAGCTATTTTTTTCCATTAAACTAGACAAACCCAATTCCTGCAATCGTTCTTCATCATGGAGATAACTAGACTATGCTCACTAAAACAGCTAGCCGACCCTTATTTCTTTCTGACTCTGCATGGTGATTCAATTCTTTATTGATAATCACTGAACTCCTATATGAGATCTTACAAGTCTGTTCCCAAGAAGAACAATAAATAAGTTGTGGAAATATTTTAGACAGCAAATTTCCAATGGGAGAGGGGAAGATTTTACTCAACTAGCCATTGCTGAGTCTAGGGGGCAATGCTCATCTCTGTTTCAAGGCCATTGAGCCACAACACTGTCCGAGGACATTTCTGAGGTCATGTTGCCAGCATGACATCACAGAGTGCTATTACCTTTCCAGTCAAGTGATACCTATTTATCTACTTGCATTTCAATGCTTTTAAACTGCTAGCTTGGCAGGAGCTGAGCAAGGAAAGGGAGCTCACCTTGTTGCGTGCAGCTCAGATCTCCAACCAGGACTGCCAGTTTTCCAGCCAACAAGCCCAGCGTCCTCACCATCGTAACCACACTGAGCCACTGCTCTGAGTTAGATCTAAATAAACACATGACTAAAATGAACTAAGAGTATTTATTTCATTTGGTTCAATAGTTATGTTTTCAACAGGAGTGCTGCAGTATTATTTTAGAATAGTTCTTTGAAAGGTTGTCTGTAATTTGTGGGCAAGTACACTGTAATTTTTCTGGGGTTAAAATAAAACTGCCCTTACATAGGTAATCTCAAACCCCTTGATTTCAGCTATGAATTATACTTAGGGGTGCATTATACTACTAATTTACAGAGCTTTGGGGTAAAGGCCATCAAATATCAGTTATGATAAAAGTAGCAAGGCATCCAGCAGATGTTTCTCTGTTTAAGGATCAAACAGGCTTCTTGTTTTCATTCAGTGGGTCATCTGAGATAATCTACTAGCATGTGATCCAGCCTCTTTGAGAAAGGTTGTCCCTTGTCTTTGATCCCTGGGACTCAGAACTTCTGTGATGAACTGAATCAGAATGGAGCCACTGCGGAGACAGAAGCTCTCTTGTGAGAGTTTTCAGCTGCTAAGTGACAGAGCGTGCCATCTTTTCACCAGCTCCTTGGGTTTACTGATCATCTCATTCCAATGTTCGAGTTCCTTTCCCCGGGTGTACATGAAGGGCCCCACAATCACACAGCCCAGGGAGGAGGTCTCTAAACAAAGCCACAAAAATCATGAGGATTAAACAAAGATCATGGTGGAAACTTAACGAGGATCTCCAAGACCCCTGAGAGTAGCATCGTGGGCTGCTTACCATCCCCTGGGATAACAGACAAGCTCAGACTGGTTGCGTCCAGCTGCAGCTGATCCACCTTGAAGCTAAAAGTTTCATTGTATAATGGATTGGAGGATCCAATGATTACTGTGGTCCTTTTGCTTTTGATGAGCTGGTTGTGGTTCATTAGTGACACTCTGACACACACCCCTAGAACAAAACGATGAGGTTGGAAACATGGAGAAGAAAATGATACTCAAGCACAACATCCAGAATGGCACTTTGGAAGAATGTCATACAAAATATAATTTCACTTTAATTTTATGGATTGCACCTGCAACAATACTCCAAATTATCTGGAACATAAGCATGGATAATGAGAAATTTGATCTTGTTGTAAAGTAGATATGGGTATATTTAAAACAGAGTTTGGTCAATATTCAATGCATGCTGCTCAAACATCTAATAGAAAAGTCTGGCAGCTCACTCTAAAGTTGAATTGTTTGAGTTTATCATCTTTTGATGCCTTATCAGAAAGCCAAAATGCATAGTTCCTTCCAATGCTATTTTATATGATTTAAATTCAGTCAGACATTGTGAGTGCGATCTATTCCCACCCCAGCTATATAGTGGGGTAGGAATATACATTTCATTCATTTTCATTCTTTTTTTTTTTCTGTTTAGCCTCCAAAACCTATAAGAACATGGTAGAAAGGTCTCTGGAACTGAAATGGTTAATATTTGTTTTATTTTGCTAAGCTAAATAAATGTGTCAAACCTCCTAGAGATCCTTTTATGACTGCAAGGGAAAGCCAAGACCCAAAAATCATGGCACCAGAAAGCAGTGATTTGTTGACTCACAAAACACCAGTTATCTGACCTTGGAGAAGCTTTCAGAAGGTCTTGGAAAGGGGTTCTGAGGCAGGGAGGTCACCTGTAGTTGAGATAGTTTGTTCACAGCATAAGCATTTAGGTAGACAGGGGAAATTAGCACTGTAAGTGTCAAAATCAAGTTGGTGACCACTATGATGTGATTAATGCCCCGACTCTCTTATCTGCATCATACATGCAATACACATAAAAAGAGTTCTGATTGCACCCCTGCATTTGTCAGTTTGACTTTTTTTGACCACAATCAGTAGCCCTTTCTTCATAATGCCTCAATACATTCCCTACTTGGGGTGCCATGGGAAAGAGGATTAGGGGTATGTAAAATTGGAGGATTATTAGTGCCCTCATAAATCACCATTTGTCCAATTTTTAATAGACTGGAGTATTGTAGCATAAGTTTATACACCAATTGATAAATAGCAAATGTTAAATACTGCAATGTAATATTGTGAGATGTCAAATACAGATAGAATATTAAGCAAATATTGAAATCTCTAAAACTATTTAGAGGACATTCAACATTGAGTCCCCAATGGGGATAAAATTGCTTGATATTGAGAATAAACAGTTTTTGAAACAGGAATTTAGGGCTAATGTTCTGTACACAGAAGAATTACTTTAGTCTAATGTAGGCTGCTATAAAATTCTGGATGGCCAGTGGATGAAAGCAAAGAGAAAGAAGAAACATATCTCAATCCTGCCATGTGGGTTTCTGGAGTTTGGTAATCCAGAGAGGGTAGCAATTTAGACCCAAACTGAGATGTGGAATATACATATATTCAAACATTTAATTTTAATTTAATTTAAAGTTTCCTGCTTTCCTCTCGTGGTTGAAGAATGAAGGTGCCAGTGTGGTCAATTTCCAGTTGGTGATTACAGTTTATCATCCAAAATACAGAAGACCCTCATTATTCTTACAAATTAGATTTAGATGAAGAAAAGAAACAAAGCAAAATAGTTGTAGATCTTCCCTCCCCACATACTGACCAGTGCTGTTTCTCTCATTCTGGAGCTTTAAACCTCGCGCTCTCAGAACCACCACTGTAAGCCGGGCCAGGTAGTCATTGTAGCTGAGGGAGAACTGCAAGTCGCCATGTTCAGAAGGTGGCTTGAAGGAGAAGACATGGGTCAGAAATCTATAACATTGTTATTCACTTCAATTAGTGGGATGGCTGAACTAGAAATGGCATAGCTAATGAGTCTGTAATTAATTCTCCTTCTCCTTCATCCACCCCAGATATTGGTGGATGGTCAGCATTGTGGGGAAGAAGGAGAACACTACTCAACTTGAAATGGGAAAGGTTCTCCTACATCAGCAACATCTGATTCCTTTCCTCAACAAATTTCTTCTCTTTAATTGAAAAGATGGAAGAAGGCAAATAAGATCAGTAAGATTTTCTTGGCTCATCCAATCTGATGTTGATTATAGTCATACATAATGCTAAGCCGGGGTTTCATGAAGAACACATCAAGCTTTAGTTTGAATGCAAGTGAGAAGTATCTGGTTTTAGGTTTCAAAACTTAATTAGATCCCTTATTCGTATTCCCACATAATTCTAACAAGTAGCTGGTTTCAGGAAAAAATGGTCATATAATCTGCAACTCGTATACCCGCCCTGAGTCCCTCCTGGAGAAGGGCGGCATACAAATAAACCAAAACTGAAACTGAAACTGAAACTACTGCAGAAACATTTGGCCCACACATCTTGACCAGGGTAAAGCAATAGATACAACATACATAGACTTCTGCACAGCCTTTGATTCAGCGGTGCACGACAAACTATTGTTGAAACTAAGTTCTTATGGAATCTCCAAATCCTGAGACAAGTTGATAGCAAAGTTCCTGTTAAACAGGCAACAAATAGTCAAAATAGGGAGGGCCCAATCAAATCCGGCACCTGTTAACAGTGGTGTCCCCCAAGGCAGCATTTTAGGACCCACACTCTTTCTGCTGTACATCAACTACCTATGCAATCATATTAAAAGCAGCAATGTCATGATGGGGAGGAGCAAAAGTCGCGACGACAGGGCGTGCAATCTCAATGCTCTGAGATCGCAGTCAACACTTTTGTCTCTGGATGGTCTAAACAGACCTAAACCGTCCTGTAGAGATGGCAAACAGGAAGAATACATCTTGCTGATCACAGGGACATCGCAAAGACTCTGATTGATCCAAGAGAAGCTCTTCAAGCTGGTGACAAAAAATCCAGCCAAATAGCTGATGAGGTCTGGGCGGCTCCAAAATGGAAGGATACAGAAAGAGAAATTGTTTTCAGCTGGTGATGAATTTTTACTGTTTTAAAAGTGACTCCCTACAAAAAAAATTTAAAACTAATTTAAATTGGAGAACAGAAGAAATAAGCGGCGGAATTAAATTTGGACTGGTTTTGAAAAGTTACTTTTTAAATGCTATCTTTACGGATGGAATTTATGCAAGCCTTTTAAAACGAACGGATTAAGTTTCCTTTTTCTATTTTTTTTCTTTGACTATTCTTCATAATATATGGACTAAAACTTTCTTCTTTCATTACTGTGGGTGTTTTTCTAACTCATTTAAGAATTGGATCTTTTTTAAAAACTTGAAATGCAAAGAGATACAAACAAGAAACAAAGAAGTGGTAATATTCTAACATTATAATGTTGCTACTCGGAAGCTAGGCTGTTTGTGTATTGGAAACGAAACACTTTTTTCACTCATTATCCTGGCTTGGCACTTCAAGGACTCACAGCTTGTTTATAGAGTGATAAGAAGAAGAAGAAAGGCACACAGATTATTCCTTTGAAGTAGATTCTTGGCCAGAGAGGGGTGAAATGTTATTGTGACGCTTAATTCTACTAAAACCTTCTAAGATAGGGTAGCAGTTTGTCAGCTGGAAATCATGGTGCAATTTCAGCATCAGATAGAAGTTTTAAATCTGCAAAAGATATTCTCAGAAATACAGAAATTATCAAATACAAATAAGAGGATAGAGAAGATGTTGGATTACTTAGTGCATCTAAGAGTAAAATACAACAGAAAAGTTGAAGATGTTCATCAAATCCATCATGTGACCGGCGCCAGCTTGAGATAGGTAAGGGCAGAATCTTTGCAGCCCACGGCGGGAGCAGCAGCATGCAAGCAACCTGGAATGAAGCTTCCTCCTCGCTCCGTCATGCAGAGAGGCCCCCTGCTCCGTGAGGGAGGCGACGGCTGGAAGGAGCTGAGCGAGGCATCGCCGGCTTGGCAGCATGCACTGAATTCCGTGCAAGGCTTTCTTCTGCCTTGACTTCTTCGGGCAACGCTGCCATGGGGCCTTCTCCAGCCGCCGTGGCCTCGGTTCCCCGTGCGATTTCACCCACCGCTCCGGCGCCGGCGGCAGCCAGCAACAAAAGGAAATGGGACAACGGCAGCAGCAGCAGCAACAGGAGGAAGCTGGAGCTTGTCAAGCCGCCGCAGTGAGGGGTCCCCCGGAGGAGCCGAGAGCCTTGAGAAAGGAATTCGGATGCCGAAGGGGTCAGACGGATGTTGCCTCAGCTCGGGCCAGCGGGCTTTTTTCTCCCGTCTGATGCCAGCATGGCAGAAACCAGCACCAAGAACATAAACAACAGCTTTACGATCACAGTAGTTCCCTTCGTCCTATTGGGCCATAGCAGAGAGGCTCGCGAGGGACCAGGTGCACAAAATGGAGGCGAACGGCAGCGGGAGCAGCAGAGACTCAGTTCCCGATTGCTGGGACCAGGCAGACCTCGAGCCCGGGAGCGCTGCCTCACCTGCCGCTGGGAATGAGGAAGCCGCAGCGGCGCCCGGCTCAGCCCTGCTGGAGTTGCTGGAGTCTGAGGAGGAGCAGCTGCTGGGCGCGGCCTCCAGCCAGCACCTCAATGTCAACGCCAAGCCCTTCATGCCCAAACACCACCGAGTTCAAGCCGGCTTTCCTGAGGGGAGGCCCAGGACAGTCCGCCATGCCGACGGCCCTGTCACCCCCGCTGGGCTTGCCCACACCGACGGCCCTGTCACTGACACATGGACCCTGCAGAGAGGGAGGACAAGGACGAGGAGGATGGGGAGCCTGCCCCCCCAACTATCTCCAGCTGCCCCAGCCGCCTCAGACTTCCTGCACTGCTTCCAGGCCCTGCAGGGGAGAAGAATGAGGAGAACAAGGAACTCCCCCCCAAACTACCACCAGCTCCAGCCGCCTCGGACTCATGCTGAGCGCCTTCCCTGTGGGGCTCGGACAAAGGTCCTTCCCTGCGGAGCTCGGACGAGGGCCCGGTTTTGGGCCAGGCTGCGGGAAACAGCAGAGGAGAGCCCGTTCGGAACCACTGATCGGGACTTCCAATTTTTTTACCGTTTGTAAATTATTTTAATTACCATCGATTTAGGAACTGCATTTTTTTAGCTGGTTTGTTGGGTGTATGAGTATATGAATGTGANAGTCACATGGCCAGCAAGTCACTCCCACAAAGCAGGCCACACCTACAGAAGAGGTTCTAAATTTTTTTTGAAACTCACCACTGGGGGAGAAAGACAGAAAGGAAGGGAGGGACAGAGAAAGAGGGGGAGGGAGAGGGGGAATGACAGAGAGAGAAGAAAAGAAGGAGAGAGAAGGGGGAGAGAGGGAGGAAGTGAGGCAGAGGGAGAGAGGGAGAGAAACAGAGAGAGATGGTAAGAGGGAAAGAGAAAAATGAAAGAAAGAGAGGGGGCAAAAGAGAAGAGGGGAGTGAGAAAGAGAGTGAAGGAGAGAGAAAGAGAGAGGGAGGGAGAAAAAGAGAGAGAGGGAGAAAGAAAGCGAGGGAGGGAGAAAGAGAGGGTGAAAGAAAGAGAGAGAGATGGAGAAAGAGGGAGAAAGAGAGAGAGGGAGATGAGGGAAAGAAATGAGAGGGAAAGAGAGAAAAGGGAGAGAAAGGAAGAGAGGAAGTAAAGAGGGGAAGAAAGAGAGAGGGGGGAGTGAGAAAGAAAGAGAATGGAGAGGGAAAGAGGGGAGGGAGAAAGACAGAGAGAGGGGGAGGGAGAAAGAAAGAGGGAGGGAGAGAGAAAGAGAGATAGAGAGGGAGAAAGGAAGGAAGGAAGGAAGAGAGAGAGGGAGAAAGGGGGAGCGAGGGAGAGGGAGGGAGGAAGAGGGAGAGAGAGGGAGGGAGGAAGAGAGAGAGAGGGAGGGAGGAGGGGGGGGAGAGAGAGATAAAGCATTTTCTCGTAAGTATCCCCATCTCACCATAAAAAAGGAGAAGAAAAAACAATCACAAATAATTCCCAAACTATATCACAAGAGGCAATGACCTGATTTATTTTAATATTAACAGCAGATGAGATTCTGATATTTCACAATTCATGAACATCTTTTTTTTCCCCCTATTAGAACCTGGTCAAGGTTTTATTGACAGGCGTTAAAAAAAACCCCACCATCTTCTATCTTGGTTTCGGTTACACTTTCCTTCGTTTGGAGGTTGTTCCTCCTGCTGCGTTTCTATTTTCCTGGAAATGTCCTGTAACAGGTAGAACATCAGCACAGATTACCAAAAAAAATCTATAAAATGCTTTTTGGGCTTCTACATTTGGTGGGAACCGTTGCCTTCTTTATCCCACGGATAAGAAATAAATATAAAAGCTGTTATTCATTGGAAAACACAATTTATCCTCCTCACCTGTTCAACATTCTAGATGCATTTGTTTCACAATTCAGTGATGAAAGTGTTTTTTTTTTTTTTGCATCGATATGCCGCACAGATGTATTATTAAGAAACATCACTTGTATTTAGACTGTCAGCTGTTTATACTCCACAATTGGGGGGGGGGGGGGAATCTGATGCGATTGAAACAATCTTCACACAAACAGTAGGGAGTGAATATTTGATGGATCTGCCATGAAAGGAAGGCACCATGTTGAACTCAGAATTAATGCTGATCAGGTGTCCTTTCCATCAAGTGGGGCTTGACGTAGGCCACGCACAGTGGAGCGTTGCCATTTTTTTTACTACCAGTTTGGGTGCACTCATGCGCTTGCTCACACCGATTCTTCTGCGCATGTGCAGAAGCATCTGGGCAGGTGAGCCGAGCCTCCTGCCACCGCTACTACTGGTTCGCCCGATCTTGGCTGAACCAGGAGCAACCCACCTCTGGCCATGTGCAGTGGCGGGCACTCCAAATGTTTTAACAACTGGTTCTCTGCCCTA